GGATTGGAAGCAGTTATTTCAGGGCAAAACTATCTCTGGCATGTGGGAGGCTTTTAAAGACCAATTGGCTAAAAGGCAGGACATGCGTGTCCCTGCAAAGCTAAAGGATAGGAATGGCAGGATTCAGGAAACATGGATTACAAGGGAAATTGTAAGGTTAGTCAAAAGTAAAAGGGAAGCATATCACAAGTCTAGGCAGATACAAACTGATGAAGCCTGAGGAGTACAGAGAAATTAGGAAGGAACTTAATTGTGCAATTCGGAAAGCAAAAAGGGGCCATGAAATGTCTTTAGCAAACAGGGTCAAGGAGAATCTCAAGACTTTTTATGCATATGTTAGGAGATAAAGGGTAACAAGGGAAAGAATAGGCCCACTCAAAGACAAAGGAGGGAAGTTATACGTAGAGCCACAAGAAGTGGGGGAGATCCTGAATGAGTACTTTGTATTGGTTTTCACCAAGGAGAAGAACATGACTAATGTTGAGGTCAGGGATGAGTGTGTGAATACTCTAGAGAATGTCAACGTATTGAAAGAGGAAGTTTTGGGAATCCTAAATTGCATTAAGATCAATAAGTCCCCAGGACCAGATGGGATCTACCCCAGGTTACTCAGAGAGGCAAGGGAGGAAATAGTTGGGTCATTGGCAGATATCTTCACATCCTCATTGACCATAGGCGAAGTTCCAGAGGACTGTTCCCTTGTTTAAGAAAGGATGCAGGGATAATCCAGGAAACTATAGGCCAGTGAGCTTGACGTCTGTGATGGGGAAGCTCTTGGAGAAGATACTGAGGGACAAGATATATGCGCATTTGAGGGAAAATAGACTAGTTAGTGACAGGCAGCATGGTTTTGTGTGGGGAAGGTCATGTCTCACCAACCTGATTGAATTTTTTGAAGAGGTAACGAGGATGATTGATGAGGGAAGGACTGTGGATGTAACTTATATGGACTTTAGTGAGGCATTTGATAAATTCCCACAGGGTAGGTTGATACAAAAACTAAAATCACAAGGGATTCAGGGTGGCCTGGCTGGATGGATAGAAAACTGGGTTGGTCATAGAAGACAAAGGGTAGCGGTGGAAGGATGTTTTTCAGAACGGAGACAGATAACTAGTGGTGTTCCACAGGGGTCAGCCTTAGGTCCTTTGTTGTTTGTAGTATATATAAATGATCCAGAGGAAAACGTGGGTGGTCTGATAAGCAAGTTTACTGATGACACAAAGATGGGTGGAGTTGCTGATAGTGCCAACAATTGTGAAAGTACATAATAGGATATAGATAGATTGGCGACTTGGGCACAGAACTGGCAGATGGAGTTTAATCCAGACAAATGCAAGGTGATACATTTTGGAGGTTCAAATTTAGTTGTGAATTATATTGTAAATGGCAGAACCCTGAAGAACACTAACATACAAATAGATCTTGGCGTGCAGGTCCACAGTTCCCTGAAAGTGGCAACACAGGTAGCCAAGGTGATTAAGATGGCATATGGCATGCTTGCCTTCATCGCCCGGGGCAGGGAGTACAAGAGTTGGCAAAACATGTTGTAGCTATATAAAACCCTTGTTAGGCTGCATTTGGAGTATTGTGTGCAGTTTTGGTCGCCACATTACTAGAGGGATGTTGGGGATGATGTGGAAGCTTTGGAGAGAGTGCAGAGGAGGTTCACCAGGATGTTGCCCTATCTCGAGGGCATTGGCTATGAGAAAAGGTTAAAAAGACTAGGATTGTTTTCACTGGAAAGACAGCAGCTGAGAGGAGACCTGATAGAGGTCTACAAAATAATGAGAGGCAGAGATAGGGTGGATAGTCAGAGGCTTTTTCCCAGGGTTGAAGGTTCAATTACAAGGGGGCACAGGTTCAAGGTCAGAGGGGGAAAGTTTAAGGGAGATGTACGAGGGAAGTTTTTCAAGCAGAGAGTCTGGAATGCACTACCAGAAGAGGTGGTGCAAGAGGTTGAAGACATGTAGGAGGCACCTAGATGGATACATGACCAGGGAGGGATACAGATCGAAAAATAGCAGGTTTTTTTTAGATTAATTAGGGCTCAGCATTG